TTCCATGAGTTGACCAATAAAGCTGCGATTCCATTTCTACAGCAGCGCGACCAGCCGCAAAGGGCCACAGATCAGAACACTTTCTGGGAAATCTCAACTCCTGACTGAAATCTGAGTGTTTGTTCCCAGCAAATTGCTGTTCCTGGTGAAGGAGTGCATGGTTTACAGCTACTGACACCAGCTAGATACAGCAAATCACTATTGAAATGTGGTAATACTGTAACTAAAGTAACTGAAGTGCAACATGCCTGACCACAGAGAGGGAAGAAAAAGGCAACCAACATTGCTGTCATCAAGTTAGTTTTGGTTACCAGCGTTGATCTAAAGGAGAAAATCACCGTATTCAGAAAAATCGAAAAACTCACATAGGAACCTGTAATGCTTCACCCGCTGGGTCACTTTCAAGCTACAACGTGACTGCAGCACCCTCAGCATGTTACCTGCTCTGCCACGGGGCTTCACAGTGCACGGAGCTCCTCTGCCTCAGATTGAAGGCACACTGCCTCTCCCGAAGGCACACTGCTGCGCTGTCGCACAGGGCCCTGCCTGCTCTGCTCTCCTCCTCTGCAAACTCACAGCAAAGTAGCGGGTGGTGAGGTGTACAGAGCAGGAGGCACAGCACAGCGTGACACTGGAGGCACTCGGATAATCTCTTATTGCTGACACAGCTCCAGACAAATCCTGCTATTTTCTCTCTTTTCTTTTCTTTAACCAAATATTCTAATAATTGTTTCAGAAAGAATGAAGGGCAGAAGCATACACGTCTAAGCAAATAAATAAATAAATAAGTGCAGAGATTTAGAAGAGCTTTTGCTGCTTATAAAATTAAAGAGCAGAAAAAGCACACGAATCAGCGGCAGTTGTTGGAAGCAAACACTTTTCCAGCCGTATGAAAAACAAAAGCCCAAAAGAATGCTCAAAAGAAAGCAGAACGACGTTGATGAGGAGCTGAAGGGCTCACCTTCCCACCTTCCCAGCCGGCGTGGGGTGGTTCCCCGCTCCTCCCGGCGCTCTAGGGCAGAACAGTGACGCGCGGGGACCTCTAGCGGCCAAGCGGGGTCAGGCGGGGCGGTGGGACACAGCCGACTTCATCGCCTTCTCCTTTCAATCACAGCCGCCGCTACAGAACGGCTCGGCCGTCCATTTCTCCTCACACGTGTGCAAACCTCGGCTGCGAAAGTAACGTGGCGGCGGCAACAACAACCGCCACGTTGTAAAGACAAACACATGTACCGAGCGACACAGAACGGGGACGGTGAACGCCGTTCGGACTCGGGGGTGCTCCCACAGCCTCACCACGGGTTGCGCCGGGCTGGGAGAGGCGCGGCCGGGAGAGTTGCGGTAGGACGACGAGGAAACGAACGGACAGAGAGAAGGGTGGTGGGAAGGGACTCCCCGCGCGTGATGCGAAGCCGTGAGCTCGGAGCGCTGGGGAGCTGCCAGCTGCTGGCGGGGTGATGTTGCCGTGCTGGAATAGGAACGCAGGCACGAGGGCTGAAGGCGCTGATTGACTTCAAACTACTCGCGGCGTCCACCCAGCAAAGGAGAGAGAAGAAAGAGGAGCGCCGCAGCCGCCTTCTCCAGCTGTGCAGGAGAGGAGGGCTGAAGAAGCCCAGCGACGGAGCCGGGCAGCCGCCGTCCACGGTGTGCGAGCAGCGCTCGAATCCCAACTCTGAGCTTTTTCGGGGTAAAACACCCTAAACTTCTCCCGCGCTTGGGCGGGCGCTCGCGGGGCCGAGGCGAGGGCTGGGGATCCGAGCGGCGCGGGGGAGGCGCGTCCCCTCCCTTCCCACCCCGCCTCCCGCCCGCCCGGCACCGCCACCGGAGCGGTGCGGAGCGGAGCTCCCGGCCCCGCGGCCGCACCCGCGAGCGGAGCCCGAGCCCTCTGCCTTCCTTCCTTTTCCTTCTCCTCCTTCTCCTCCTCCCCCCGGCCCGTCGCCGAGCGCTGCGAGCGGAGCCGGGGCAGCCGCTGTCCCCCGCCGCTGCTCGCCGCCCTGCCCTGCCCGCCCCCCTCCTCCGTCCCGCCCAAGCCATGAACTTTGGCCGCGGCCCCGCCGTGGTATTGAACGTCGGGGGCACCCGGTACTCGTTCTCCCGGGAGGTGCTGAAGGATTTCCCGCTGCGGCGGGTGAGCCGCCTGCACGGCTGCCTGTCGGAGCAGGACGTGCTGGAGGTGTGCGACGACTACGACCGGGAGCGGAACGAGTACTTCTTCGACCGTCACTCGGAGGCCTTCGGCTTCATCATGCTCTACGTCCGGCACGGGCACCTCCGCTTTGTGCCGCACATGTGCGAGCTCTCCTTCTACAACGAGCTTATCTACTGGGGGCTGGAGGGCTCCCACCTCGACTACTGCTGTCAGCGCCGCCTCGACGACCGCATGTCCGAGACGCGCACCTATTACTCGGCCGAGGAGCCGCCGGGAGAGCACAGCGCCGGTCCGAGGGGCAAAGCCCGGCGGGCGGCGGCGGCCGAGGGAGGGAAGTGGCTGGAGAGGATGCGGCGGACTTTCGAGGAGCCCACGTCTTCGCTGGCAGCCCAGGTGCTGGCCGCCGTCTCCATCCTCTTCGTCATCGTGTCCATGGTGGTGCTGTGCGCCAGCACCCTACCCGAGTGGCGGGCGCCGGAGAACCGCAGCGTGGAGGAGCAGAGCAGGTACACAGCAGAGTCAGTCAGGGAGCCCTCAGGGTAGGAGGATCCTTTATTTTCCCGCTGTCCCGTGTGTCCCGTCCCGTCTGTCCTGCCGCTCGTCCTCGTTCTCTGTAGCTGCAGCCGCGGCGGGGAAAGCCCCAGTGCCGGAACGGGAGCCGGGGGCTGGGGAGAGGGCGCTGCCCCGACGGCCTGGGTGGCTCCGCGTTCCGCTGCCGGGGGATCCGCCGGTACGGGTACAGCGCCGCTCCGCTCTCCGCGCAGGGTCTCGGAGCTGCCGCGCCCTCCCTCGTAGAAGCCGCGGGGCTCCTTACCCACAGAGCGAGGTTCGCACGCTCGGGAAATCGCGTTAGACCGTACTGTCTATTTAGGGAATCGAAGCTTGAAAAAACGCAGGTCCCTTCTCCTTTCCTTTGGGGAAAACACTTCGGGTATTCACACAGGTCCTTCTGCTGGAGCAGACCCAGCGTGACGGATCTGACCTGGTAAAATCTGGCACGTGGGAGCAGCCTCACCCCGTCCACTTTTGCCACTCAGCATCTCTAAGCAGACCATCGGGCTGAGCGCGGAGCTCCTGAAATGCTTCATCCCGTACCCCGCTGGGCGAGCGTAGCATATGTTTACATTTCTTATAGACACAACACGTGTAAACACGCTACACGTTGTGAAACAGTTGCAGAAACAAGAGCCCGCGTTTTAGGCTCAGCTCCGAGTCTTCCAAGCTAGAACAACCCCTTTGTTTTTCCTCTTTGTGACCTCGGCTCGGGGTTACAGCCATGTAACTGCTGACTTCGGTATCACCACTCTCCATCTTCTGCTCTCCTAGGGAACAGAATGAGCGCTGCTCCACTAAGAGTTCTCTCATAAATAAGCCTCAGACAACACCATTTAAAGTAAACGCTTCTTGTATTTCCCACATCTCTTCGTTTAAAACCAATAGAATATTCAACAAGAAGTGTTCAGCTTCTACTCTGCTCAAGGGGCCCCACAGTGAAACTGCAGCCCCGTCATTATGAAATTACCATCTTTTACCATAGAGTTAATTGGAATGTGATATATCACATTCAGCTAAATTAATTCCTTGGAAAGTATTTTCCTAGTTTCCATTAACTTAATGGAAAGTGCACCTGTATTTCTGTTTGTAGCCGAGCCAAAGCATTAATTGTATGAACAACAAGAAAGCAGCTACAGAGTGAGAAGCTCTTGGTTCCTGCCCAGATGCAGCTATGTCAGAAGCTGCTTTTACACGTTCTTCCAGTTAGGAAGCCTTACATAACCTCTGCGGACTTACTTCAAATGGGGGATGCTCTGCATGACCTCTGTGTAAGGCAGGACATGTAGATTTCCCCACTAGATACGGGAAAATACGTGCAACAGCAACATAGAACCAATGCGATCAAAGAGACGGCACTTCGGCCATATCTTTGATCACATCTTTATGATGTGGACATTAACGATTTTCCACTTAGAGTTTAATGTGCAGATGGACAAGGCAGATGACCAAATTTTTATTTCATAGTACCTTCGTCTTCAAGAACATGTATAGAAGCACGTAGTTTTTTTCCTCTGATTGATTGTATGTTGTGTAACAAATGTTGGGATCCTAAGTACTCATGAGATTTTCTGTATAGCCAAGCACCTGCCAGGGTAGGGAAGGCTGCTTTTAAAATGGAAAGGAGCACTGCCAACGATAGGGTAAGTTTCCTTAGAAGCAGATGTAGTAGTCTATGGATTGGCAATAACAACTGTAAAAATTACTGTGAACAATTTCTAACCTTCTTGAAAAAGTCCATTGCACACAAACACACAGGCTGGTTCATTTCATGTGTGTCTTTGCCCATGTACTATCTCTGTATGTCAACCAATAGCAATTTAATGTGAACACACTGACAACAGGCACGAATGAATTCCTGCCTGTTCAGAGCTTGCTCCTGAGGTGACCTTGTCCCAGAGCCACTCCTTTCCTTGTTCTGCCTGCTGCATAACGACTAAAATGCCTGCGATGTCTGGAGAAAAGGAGTGAGCTACCGTTGCTTTTGAGCAACCCAGTTAAGTTGCATCTATTGACACTTGCCAGAGGATTTGACTTAATGTATCTGGTTGTCATCTGACTTCATGTCATTTACATTTCCTTAGGTTTCCAAAACCTGAGCAGCTTACCTGAAAGTCTGACCTTAGAAATTGCACAGCAGTGCATAGAGTGCTGTACTCTGGCAGTACCACCTGTCAGTGAGAATGCTTGTAGAAACTTGCCACTGGTTTCCTAGCTATCCAAAAGTTTGAAGTGAAATTCTGTCTTTTGTTTATTAAGTGAGGTATCTTACTGAAACGAAGAAATTCTATGTAACATATAATATGCAAAAATGTTTATTGCCAAGAGAAATTGTGACATCATTGCAATATGGAGATGGGTTTTGACATATAGCACTGTAGTTACCAGTACAAAGACTTGACATCCTTAAAACACATTTCAAAAACTTTTAGAAATAAAAATTGAATGAGCTTATCTAGAATTCAACAGAAGGGAGATTTTGGATAGATAGTCAAATCAGTATCCATCAGTACTTAGAGCAGATGAGCATTACCTCAGGAAATTCAGTGACCCTAAAATCTTGCTGACACTTTCAGTCTTTCATAGGTTTACCAATAAAAACAAACAACTGTCCTTTTCTCAGTGTTATGTTACTTATGGTTGGAAAGGTGCCACACAAGTCATTTCTGTGGCTAAAGTGAGGTAACCACCCACAGAACTGCTTAGGGCAGCTGTAGTGGAAACAGCTCAGCCAGGGTGTCTCCCCCATACCTGGACGTTGTTTCTAAGGGCAAGGTAGTGACTAATTCCATAATGTACAAAATTAGCCTCTTTAATGATGTTTGCAGTAAGGGTTACTACTGCTGCCAATTAATACCAGCTGTGTTTTTATCTTTTTTTTTTTTTTTTTTTCTCCCTATTATACAAACACCTCTTCACCAGAAGAGGAATTGAGTCCACCAAATTTTTCCCATATCCTTCTTGGAGACCCTCATGTTGTTATGACTTTTCACTACGATAGGACTGTCAAAAGGTGAACAACATACATCCGTTTTTGGTCCTCACAATAACACCCTTTAAAGGGCAGCAACAGGGAACTCCAAGGCTTTTAAAAGAGAGGGGATGAAGAATCTTATCTCTGAATTTCACAGATCTCAGAGACAACGTAATTCCCTCATTTGAAGAGGGATTGCCTTCCTCAGGTCTACATTTAGGATGAGGGATGAGCTATTAAAATTTTCTCACATTCTATGATTTCTCTCTCTTGCCTAACTTGGCAAGTTTCACTTACCAGAACTAAAGATTTGCATCAGATCTGCACAGTTTAGGAGCAGACAGGAGGGACACATGTCTCCCTTCTGTTGCTTCTGGCAATTTCAAGTCATCTTTGCTCTCTTCTGAACTATGCCAACAGTTGCATTCTGAGAGTCTCTGATCACAGATCCATCCATAAACTGACCAGAAGCATCATCTTCTGAAGAGAGTTTAAACCTGTGACAGGATGTAATTTGAAGCTGCTTGACTCAGAGCCAGTGCAGTTCTACCTACTATTTTTCTAAGACTAATATGAGTAGCTAGGTAGCATAAAAAGAGACTGTTGCCTCTTTTCCACTTATGATTAAATTGACATTGAAATAATCTCTCAGTTGTCACTCGTATATGATTGCTGTGTTGTTAGGCAAAAGAATTTAAACAACATTTCTCAACAGATGCCAGTCAGCTTTTTTTTCTGTCTGCAAAACATCAGCTTAAAAAGTTACATTTGAATTTTAGAGGCACAAAAATCATTATTATTTCAGAACACCCAAATGTTCCTGCTCAACAACTGTTCATAAAAATAATAAATTCTTTCTTGGAGAAAATCTAAACACCTTTTTTCCCTAAATTCTAAAAGCAGGCTGAAGGTAATAAACAGAACTCCAGATTTAGTTTAAAAACCCAGATGTGGATTCTTCTTGTAAGAGATTTTTGAAAAGTTGAGATAATACAATGAATGGACATGCATCACTCCCTGGCCACAGTGGAACCTGAACAATCTCACCAAGGCTGGGTGCTAATCCCATGTTCCAAGAATGTGACAAAAATGCTGAGGAATCTCAGGGCTGGAATGCTCCTATCCAGATGTTGCTTGGAAGCTGGGAAGTGCATTTTCCTCTTCTCCAGGCACTGCTGGTCATTGCACCTCCCCAAGAGGCAGGCACTAACCAACATTTAATGCATTAAGAGTTACTGCTACCAGAGCAGGGACAGAAGGGGAAAATGCCTGCAAAACTGGCTGTTCTATGGTCCTTGCTCTGCACTTTGTAGGCAGGCAGAAATCCTGTTGATTTCAAAAGGATTAAAAAAGGCTTTTTGCTGAAATGATGATAAGTCTTCCTGAGCAGGAGTTTGATCTTTCTGGCTACTTCTTGGACGTTCTTCAGGAGACACGGAAATAGGATTTAGCAACAATTTAACACATCAGTGCTGACAGCCTTGAATCCTGCCATAGACTGTCTTTAACTGTTTCACGTTTTCCTCGTGTCTTGTTGATGTTTATGTTCTACTTACAAGCTCAATCAGTAACAGTGCCACAAATTAATATTTTGGGGAGATTTCAACTGAATCACAAGGGGATATTAAAAGTATACAAACTGGCACATTGGGCCAAGGCATAACAGCAAGCTTAAACACTTTATGATGTTATTATAGTAAAAAAAAATTAAATCATATAACAAAACGAATCTTGTTAGTGATTGAAAAATATTTTGCAAGCACTTTTATTTAGTGTACATAAAACTGCCTATTCCAAAAGGAAATTATCAGACGGAACAGAAAATTAAACACAGACTGGATTACAGAGGAAGTGAGGCTCAGAAAAGCTTCACTGCCAGTTTATGGCCAAAAGACTCATTAAGTACCAAGAGGCAATTTCTTGAAAAACAACAACAACAACAAAATCTCATTCTCTTTTATGTGACTTAGGTCTGGGCCAATGAACAGTAAATTTGTGCAGAAATAACCTATAATTAAAAATTAGAACTTCATATTCTCTTTGGTTATTCAGATTTTGTGGGGTGTTATCAAATAAATACTTCATGAGCTTGTTTTTCATTTCCTGTCTCCTTTTTGGATCTCAGCTATTTTAAAACTGAATGGATAAAACAAATATACACTAAACAAGAACAGGTATTACATTTTACCAAATAAAGCTCATGATTTAATTATACACTTAGTTAGATACAGATGCTGAAGCAGCTTATTATTTCAGGAACAGGCAGTCTGTCATGTGAACATGCAGCAATATTTTAAGAAATGATTACAGTTTGGTAACATTAGTCTTCTTAGTGAATTTCAGTTGGCCTTAGCTTGATATAAATTCTTTTAAGGATTTTAATTTTCTTACTAGGTATTACTTCTCCATTAACAAGGATAGCTTAGTTATAAAGATAAGTCACTGTCAGGAAGAGGGAGATGATCTGAGAGTGGAAACATTGTATGTAGCACTCTAGGTCTCACAACAGGTCAGAGGTTTCTAGTTGTGCTCACCAAATCACTTACTCACTTAGGTGATTCATTAGGATTGAAATCCATCTACAAATGAGGAAGAAAAAAGTGAGAGGAGGAACAACACATTTCACTTATGTCTAAGTAGTAAGAAAATACCCTTATTTGTCAGCTCCCAAGCCAGTATGTATTGAAATTGATGAGAAAAAGGATTGATTAATAAAATGTGTATATATATATATATATATATATATGGAGAAATGGAAGTGCAATATATTGTCACGTAGATGTAATACATCTCCACTATTTTGATCTTGCTTTTCATTTTACATCATTGATGTTCCTTAGCTCTCTTGTAGTCCACAATAAAAGGTTCTTCAGTCCTTCCTAAAGCAGTATAACTGACTTACAGTATCTCTCATGCTCAGGACCATTGGAGTAAAAGAATGGATTCATCACATTTCATCTAACATGGATTTTTACTTGCACAACTGTTTCCCAAAGTTATACCAGAGCACTCAATCAATTGTGATTCATAAAGATAACTTCTACTGAATCACAGTGATTAGGACTTAGCTTCTTCAAGATTTGACTCACAGATAACCTGCCAATTTGGGATACAATTGAGGAATTACACCACCATTGTTTTAGGGGCATCAGGAGGAAATACCAAATATAGCAATTTTTAGTGGTAAAATTAAGAACAGCTTTTTCATTTAAATGCTCAGTGTCATAGGTCACAGGTATTAATTAATTAATTAATTATCAGAGAAATCTCACAAGGAATGGAACAAAGTTGGTTGACATTATTGAATTCTTAGCTGCAAATTTATTTCCAGCCACATTTCTTGTAATAATTACAGGAAGATTCAGCCAACTTAGAAGCACTTCCAGCCTTCATCAGTTTATTCATTAGCATAACTTTTCTGTTTGGCTCCTTTTACTGAAGAAGGTTTTATGTATTTTCTAGCCATGTATGTAAAAAATGAGTGAAGTGAATTTACCCAATTACATTTTTCTCTCGATTTTTCAATGTGACGATAATTCACATTCATACAATAACTTTCACATATTCTGTACAAGACTTGTTCAGAAGGCCAGTTATGATCCGAACTTTCTTTTTAAAACCAAATTGGGATCTGACCTAGTTGCCATTCACTATTATTATTCACAAGAACACTAGTGTCTTCAAAGGCTCAGTGTTTAAGAGAACACATAATTCTTAAGGGAAAGCTATTTTTGAAATTCGTGGGTCCTTACATCAGAGGTTGCTAACATGAACAAGCAATTTATAAGCCCTTTATTAAGAATGGCTCCTTGCTTACAGGGCTTTCACTGGTATTTGTGAAACACAAATAAGATCATTATAAGGTCTGCGGCTGAAATCATAGCATACATTATGAATATACATCAACTGACTATTACTATTGCCTCTACTTTTTAGTATATAACTGAAGCGAATAAAGGAATAAAACAAAGTTAAAACAAAACTTTAGTGTATGAAGCTTTTGTGAAAGTTGTTTTATAGTCTTTTAACATAATTACAGCAGTTATAGAAGAATCTGTCTCTCTAGCAGCCCACTGTCTTAACAACAATGTCAACAGATTTCAGAAACAGTAAATATGTATGTATATATTAATGTGTTAAGGAAACAGAACTTTAAGTGACAGCTAAATTATTACTTACAAATCATTATTCTTCCTATAGACAGTACCTTATTAGAAAACCTGCAGTAGAAAAAAGTTGCATCTAGTATTTTCAGGTCTCCACTCTAAGGTCACTTAGGTGTCAGACCTGTTGGTAGAGATGGTACTGGTGAGTGGCTTTTTCCTTACACAAAAAGTTAGTGAAAGCAAACAAAGGAAAGAGGGAAATACTAATTGCCATTCCATCCAATATTAAGCAAGTGACAACAGTTTGAACAGTTTTTCCTAAAGAAAAGGGTTATTTTGAGATGTGATATTCAACAGAATGTGCACTACCGTTATCAAATAATTGCAGAGAAAATTTATTTTCTGTTTCTACCTTACGTAGAAGTTTCAATTTGAAAATGCTCTCAAGTCTCACATGCTCATGCAGGACTTTAAAACACTCAAGAGAGTGCTGAAATCACCGTCCAGAAGAGCAGTGCTTTCTTTTATCAAGGCAGCTGTTTGTATTTGAGAAGACAATCCTGCCTATCATTTTGCTCCCTGACATTTTGTTATGGCACAGTTTAGAGGGAGTTACATTTAAAAGAAAATATAAAATTCAGTGATGTTCAGCATAAAGGCATACTAGATTATTACTTTGGTACTGTGTTTATCCTATGGCGAAGAATAAAATACTATCTGTATTCAGTGGCAATACTATGAAATCTTGAATATAGTTCTAGGTAAGCCCCTGTTTGGGATGCAAATAAGACTGGTTTCAGCTGGTTCTTAAAGAGCCAATTTGCATGAATTATCTGATGCAATAGCTGATTTCCACCTACTCCATCTTCATTTTCATTCTAGTTTAGCAATCTGGATGAACACATCACCAGTTCACTGATCCACAGTCCTTGGCATTCCTAAATGGATCAAGCCTCGCAGCTTTAAAACAAAACCACGAAGTATTTTAGATTATGTTACACACTGGCATTGGTGGCACACCATTTTGTCTAGGGTCCCAGATTTTGTAGGCATATTTCTCCAGTATTAGGATAGGCATATATAATCCACAGAAAATGATCAGTCAATGAGGTCTTAGCACAGATCAGTTTAAACTCCTCATTAGATCCTAAGGTTATTTGCTGAAATCCAGTGCTTCATGCTCAGAATAAAAACAGTGTGGCTTTCTGTTTGTCATTTGTGAAGGTCTGAATGTCAATTTGGTAATGTCTGTGAAAAAAAAACATCAAACCTCCACCAAAGCCCTTTCACAGAACATAAATGCTGTGCTTTCTTTTTTTTGACAGGATAATTGAAGCTATCTGCATAGGCTGGTTCACTGCAGAGTGCATTGTGAGGTTCATCGTTTCAAAGAACAAGTGTGAGTTTGTCAGAAGACCTCTCAACATTATTGATTTACTGGCAATTACTCCTTACTACATCTCTGTTCTAATGACAGTTTTTACAGGGGAAAATTCTCAGCTCCAGAGGGCTGGAGTCACCTTGAGGGTCTTAAGAATGATGAGGATTTTTTGGGTGATTAAACTGGCTCGTCATTTCATTGGCCTTCAAACACTTGGTCTGACTCTGAAGCGTTGTTACAGAGAGATGGTGATGCTCCTTGTCTTTATCTGTGTTGCTATGGCAATTTTCAGTGCACTTTCCCAGCTGCTTGAAAATGGGCTGGACTTGGGAACTAAGAATAAGGATTATGCCAGCATCCCTGCTGCTTGTTGGTGGGTGATCATCTCTATGACCACAGTTGGTTACGGTGACATGTGTCCCATCACAGTACCAGGAAGGATTCTTGGAGGAATCTGCGTGGTTAGTGGCATCGTTTTACTAGCCTTGCCAATCACTTTCATTTATCATAGCTTTGTGCAGTGTTACCATGAGCTCAAGTTCCGATCTGCTAGGTATGGTAGAAGCCTCTCTGCTGAATTCTTAAATTGATCCAACTTGAATTCTGTTGTAGTTACTTGCTAAGCTTTGTCTTAGCAGAGAATGGTGGGAAGTCCCTTCATGTTTCCTCCTTGACTGGACGGTCCTATGGAACAACATTCTCGCCTGCCCGGAGAAAGCCCATCACCATTCAGACAGGAAAGATGGCTACCTACCTTGGGCACCTTGCAAGGAGAGAGAGTGATGTTGTCAAATTTGAGAGAACAAAATGACAAAAAAGGATTCAGAAGTCCTCAACCAGACTCCAGCTTGATCTTGAGTTTGCCTCTCAGCACAAAAGCAGAACAAATTAATGGGCTTAACACTGAGGTCCATCATTCCCATAATTACATCTTATATCATTCAGAGCAATGTTTAGCAGAAGTACATGCAGCTCTGAACGTTGTAGCAAAGATCTCCCTAACCACAGTTACTTTCTTCTCTGGAATCAAACCTTTAATAGAAGCGTTGTGCTTTTTGAAGATCAACACAAAAGTACTGGCATTGATAAATGTATTTTGAGGTAGTTTAGTGAGAGAGCTATCCAAATTTTATATACACTCAGTTCAACTCCATCCACCTGAAATTACATATTCATTAGCATTGTTTTTTTTTCCACTTAATTAAACATTTATATATATCACAGTGAAAGCTCTTAAGACAAATTATAAAATACCATCACTTGAAACAGTCTGGAGAAAGCATGGAAAACAAAAGTAGCTGCTCCCTGTCAAATAAGACTCTCCATCATCTTTAAATTACACAGTCCCTAACCAAGGATACACTTCATGGAAGTATTAAAAGCAACTGCCCAAAAGATGTCAAAGAAAGTGAAAAATAGAAGTGCAAGTTGCACTTGGCAAAAGGGTATATTCTCCAGTGTAACTACAAATTAAAGTGAATCAAGTTAGGTTCTGAAATGCTGTTCACTACATTTCTTGTGTAGTACTGCTAAATAGCCTTGTACTGTATAATTCTGAAAAGCTGCTATGTAGAACTGTGCAGTTACATATTAAAACACGTTTAGGTACAGCTTTACAAATTCGGGTACCAATAAACATCAGTGAGGAACCTCATTACTAACCTCAAAGTTCAGAGTTGTCAGCATAGTTGAATTTGGTGTGCTTGCCTTAAAATAATGCATTTAATATTACTGCGCTGTAGAAGCATCTTTTGTATATGTATTTGTTAACAGCTTTAGAAATAAAATGAGTACCACCTAGAAAACACAGATTTGGAACTGCTCTCTCAGAGAAAAGCATCACATTGTCCAGTGACTGGTATGTTGAAGGCTCTACTCTGAAAGAACACTTGAGACTTGAACAATTTATTAGCATTTTATGTGGTCTTAGTCTTAAGTAGTCTTGAGAAATACACCGAAAAATAAAATGTTTCTGAAGACCTGAAAATAATTTTAGCAGCTTTCTCAAAGACAAGCTTGACTTTTCCTTCAGCAGTTTTTAAAGGACGCGTTATTGAGTAACATTGCAAACATACCTCCATTTCTTGTCACTGACACATTCTGGTGCGCAGGTGGTCAGCTGTAAACTTCCCTATTCTGCTATACTTATGCCTTTTGTATCAGAATTGTGTAGTTCAGGAATGTGCTCTTGCAACCACAAAGTGGTGAATATCAGTTGAACAAAAAATTCTTAGGTGAGATTCACATCTGATGTTAGTTAGGCAAGCAGTGACTTCAGAGACACTCATATGTCTTACTCCGGTGGAGATGCTGGCTCTGTATTCCTGCATGTGTACCTATATATCCTGCATATATTATATATTATAGTCAGTTGCAATATTTTCTCCTCACAAAAAAACTCCTCCTTGATAGAACTGAAATTTCAACCTTAAATCCAAACACAGCTGTTTGAAGAAAATGATATTTTCATCTTCTAATGAGAAGTTTATTTTGACAGTATAAAAATAATCCAAATTTTAAGGAGAAAACTTCTATTTTTTTTAAACTTCTCTCCAAATTTTTTCTTTTAAAAATGGAAAAACAAAAACAAACCAAAACCAATGCCCAGTTAAGATCTCCTACCTACAGATGTTCATGTTATTTCTCAAGCATTAACCTTGGGAAAAATACCAATGAACGCCCTTAAAAATGACTTTGTCTTTTGTTCATTGACCAAATCAATATCTGAGGTAGAACCCTCCTCCCACAAAACAACTCATCATCAGGATGACAATTGTTTGAAATGAGTATACAATGGAAATGCACTTTAAAGTATGTTGCAATCTTGATTCCAAGACAAAATAAAACACATTTCAGTATTACTCAATACTACCATAAATCTAATTTTTAGATGCCTGTACAAAGGAAAAAAATTAATGCACATATTAACTTGTGAATATCAATTTGCTTCTTGAATCATTTTATATAAGCAATTAAGTACAGGAAAATTTCATAGATGAACAGATCCAGGTTATATCTGGTACACAAACAAAATGTTTGATCCTTTATGAATTGTTTTCCAGCTAATGAATTCGTTCCCCAGTATAAAAAGATTAGCTACAGAAAATAATTGTGTAAAGGAATAAGACTGTGGAAATATATGGAAATATATACTTTTTTTAAAGTTTATGTTCAATTTTTGTATGGCAAAACGTGGACAAAATGACCTTATGTATTTTTAATTCAGCTATAATAAAATATTATTTTGAAACTGCTCTCTTGATAAGACAACTAAGAAGAGATACTGTTGGGTTGGTTCTTCTGTTGTAACTTTTGTGGGCTTTTTTTTTTTTTTTTGGATGTTGTTTTGATTATCAGCATGTAGACTGGTTTCTCTAGAAACCAAGTTGAAATAACACGACCTCAACAGTAACCTTAAAAGAGAATCTTATACTAAGCAATTAGGGTTCTTGATTTTTAGCAGTATATGTTATACCATTCTCTATGAACAAGTGTTTTTCTTTTTTTTTTGTTTAGTGAAACCGTAAAGAAAATGAATTATATTCGTGGTCCAAAATAAGAACATATTTGAACAGGTGAAATTTTTACTGAAAGTGTACTTGAGATTGTGTGTTTTTTATGCAGCCATTGGGTACAGTGCTTTCTTTTAAAATATAGCATGTCAAAGCCAAATGAGGACAAACTGGCCCATTTCTAGTATTTGCCAGTTTTAATCCAGTACAATAAGAATATTTAATGGTTGGTACCTCTTTGATCATGAGAAACATTTGCAATTGAAACAGATTAGATAAAACACAAACAATAAAAGTGAAGATAAATGAAGACAACTTACAATTGTGACTCAGCCTTTCTGTTCACCTGAAGTTAAACCAATGCCAATGGATTCTGAAGTACCATTATCCATCTCAAAGACAGCAAAAGTTAATCATACCTTAGAGCAGGATCAAACTTCAGATTTGATCCTTAAGACTGACCTACTGGGTCATCAGACCTTCGGGTACTCAGTGCTGCTTAAACATTTGAGAATTACTGAAATCACTGTTATTGAAAGGTGCCCACACTACATCTATCTTCCTTCTAGAATTCCTCATGGAGCATCATCCTCAAAAATTGCAAAGAATGAGAGACAGTTTTCTTTGATGTAAGTCTGTGAAATAATATTTCTTTTATGGACTCCTGCAAAAAACAAACGAAAAACCCCAATTAATTTAGTCAACTGGTGATTTTACAGTTTTATTATCATAGCCATTTAAACACATGGAATTCACTCTTACTGCACAGTGTAGGTGTGCACAGTGCTGGTGTACACAGCAGCAAGTTTGAAGATAAAAAATCCCATATGCCTTTCTTGATACCTATGTATTTAAAGCAAAAGGTACTTGGTTTTCCTATTGTCTATGACATTTTGTCCCTGTGAAGGAATCAGTCTCCAACTTCTTTAGTGTTCAACTTTGCTGTTTCAGAAAGAAACTCATGTCCTTATGTGTTCAAACCACTTGTCTCTTCCCCTTTCAATAATGATAAGAAAACCTTACAAGCCTCAAGAGCCTGCCAGCAGTAGCAATGCACACACATCAGACACTGAATTCCATATTCAAAGCAATGAATCTCCCATAAGCTAGCAAGATGAACAAGATCTGTGCTGCTCTGAACATTCTTCCTCATAAGAGATTCAGGATAAAACAACCAATTAGAATTTTGATCTCTGGAGGTACCTTCATGTTTTTAATATTATCCTTTCCAGTGTGCTCACAAGATGTTTGCCAGAAAAGAACCTTAGCTTTGCAAAGAAAAATAAAATAAATAAAATAAAATAAAATAAAATAGAAATAATGACTTGTTTTAGACAACAAAATTCTTCAGAAAACATTTTCTGTTATTTGTTTGTGAAAGAAAACATACACAATAGCATATAGGACACCAGTTCTTGCTATATAAAACAAATTTCTGTTTACAGTAAGGAGACTTCCTTAAGCAAGAAAGGTCTTTTGGCCTCGATAGAGCTACAGCAGTTTACATCAGCTGAAAACGTGTCCCAACACATGTGGAAGAAACAACAAAATACCACTTTTATAGTGGAAAACTAATATGACCTGTAACCTCTGAAGTGCAACGTAAGGTAGGGAGTATCTTTTACAAATGATGTAATAGGATAAGCATCAAGAAGGCTGCATTGGGAGCAAGCACAACTGATAGTATGGTTGACAAGAAACTTTAAGAGCCACAGAAGATGAATAAAATAAATCCTTACTCAAATTAATAAAATATGAATGTTTGCAACTAGGTGCCAAACTCCTTTATTCTTTACAAACTCAAATGTTTATAATTTTATAGAACATTTATATATTCTTTGCTTCTCTGTCAAGAAAAATGTATGCTATCATTTGGAAATGTAATGGATATGTTTTCTTGATGTGAATACAGAATTAGATGCCTAAATTCATAAAATAAAATTTACTGATTTTGTGAAATCTTTTGTGGGTAATAGGTCAAGACAAACATGTTTAACTGTATAAAATGTTTTACTTTTAACAAATTCTGTGGCTATTCATATTAGTACCATGGCAAAAACTTTCCTTTGACAAATTTTGGCTTTTGAGAAGCTTGTCATTTAGAACCTTGAAGCCTTACTTAACAGAAAATCTGTATATTTAATCTACAAGCTACTGTGAGACAATAAACAAACAATAGAAAGGATTATTCTTTTCAACAACAGTAACTGTATGGCATTAAAACAATCTCTGGACAGAGATCACTGACAAATGGTACACTGCAGGGCTCAGTACTGAAACCGATGTTCTTTACTTCTTCATTAATGTGGAACTGAGTTCACCCTCAGCAAGTTTGTGGATAACATCAACCTGTGTGATGTAGTCAGTGCACCCAGGGACAGGACACCATCCAGGAACCTAGATAGGCTTAAGCAGTGGGCCCAGGAGAACCTCATGAAGTACAATATATCCAAGCACAAGGTCTTGCATCTGGGTTGAGAGAACCCCCACGATCAGTACAAGCAGGCAGATGAAAGGGTTGAGCATAGCCCTGCCAAAAAGAATTTGGGGATACTGGTGGATAGCAAGCTGGACATGAGCCAGCAATGTGCCCTCATAGCCCAGAATGCCAACTGTATCCTGGGCTGCATCAAAAGAAGTCAGCAGGGCAAGGGAGGTGATCCTGCCCATAAGTCTGTGACGGTGAGACCTCACCTGCAGTACTGCGTCCAGATGTGGAGTCCTCAGTACAGGAGGGACATGGACCTGTTGGAGTGTGTCCAGAGGAGGGCCACAGAAATGATCCAAGGGATGGAACACCTCTCCTATGAAACAGGCTGAGCGAGCTGGGGCTGTTCAATCTGAGAGTGACCTTTCAGAATCTAAAGGGGGGCTATAAGAAAGAAGGGGCTAGACTCTAGCAGGGACTGCTATGACAGGACAAAGAAAATAGTTTCAAACAAAAAGAGAGGAGATATAGATTGGATATAAGAAAAATGCATTTTATGATAAAGGGTAGTGAAGTGCTGGAACAGGTTGCCTAGGAAGGTGGTGGATGTCCTGTTCTTGGAGTCTTTCAAGGTTAAGCTGGACAGGGCAGCCTCATTGAGCTGTAGGTCTTCTTGTTCATTGCAGGCAAGTTGGACTAGATGATCTTTAAAGGTCCCTTCCAACTCAAACAGCTCCATGTTGATGATAATTACAGGCAACAGAACTATTGGGAAAACAAAACAAAACAAAACCAACCAACCAACAAACAAACAAAACAAACAAAAAAACACCAAAACCACAACAGAAAAGAAAAAGCAACCATGTAGTACATTTATTATTCCAGAAGAACAATCTAGAAAAATTGATCAAATTTGGCTTCAAGTTCACTGAAATATATTCATACTTCTGGAACTACAAAGTAACAAGAAAGTCCCCCAAGAAAGTGCAATGCTTGCATTGCTGTGGCTCATGATAGGAGCTAAAGCGATGAACTAAGAGTAGAGATGCACTTTGGTGATTCATTAAGTGCAGCCATTTCAAGTGTACTTCCAAAAAATGAACACAACTAATGTTCTTCAGAAAAAAGTTTGAATATTTTAAGAGATCTCTGAATTATCAGCTACTCTGGCATCAGCTCACTGCATTATTATGAAAACGAACAGACTTTCGTTTAGAACTCATGAGCATTTCTACATCTCACTTATTTATCAGTTTTCTAAGTGTTTACATGAAATAAATGATATGAGCATGCTCTGCAAACATTTTGTTAAAAGAACTTCTGAAATATTTTGGAAGCAAAAGTTCTCTGTTTTTAATGCTTTAACACATTATTTTACAGACACCTTCAAGCACTTGCATCTCCTATCAATCCAAGATGTAACCACAAATATACTGAATACCAAAAAGTAAAATAGGATTCTTGCTATCCCAGAGAACATTTAACACATTTTTTTTTGTCATAAGAATTTCTAAAAGACAGTGAAGAGATTCAATAAAATCTAGAAAATCAAAAACGTCAAAAATGACATTATTTCCAGACATTGTATTCCAGAAACTCCTTCAGACTTCAATTTTTGTTTTTCTATTTTTTTCCATTCATGCTTCATCAATATTGAAGTAGCAACTAGGAACCAGGCTTCTGTTTTCCTAAGTAATATATAGCCATGGGCCAAAATTATAACGTTGCTGCAAAAAACAAAGAGAAAAACAAACAAAACAAAACAAAAAAATACAACAAAAAAATCCATAATCCAAGACCAAATCACAACACCAAACAGGAAACAAGATGAAAGTGCAAGCAAGCAACACTGTTTTTCTATGCAGCACGAACATCACTACTTTGTTGAGTCTGGTATACTTTTAAGTACTCAAATACAATTCCTCTCCTCCCCCTCCATTTTACAGTTGCTAAAACAGGATGCAGCATTTAGAAGTTGATTATTCCTATGTTGCCAAAAAACCTTTGTCATCAGTACCAGCTGCGCAAAGATAGCACAGCTTCTCACCATGATTTTGTTGCTAGTGTTTAACTGGATGTCAGTGGAATCACTTGATGGAAAGCTATGAACAAGTAAAACCAAGGCAGTTTATATGAATCCTGAATCCTTGACACGATATAAGGATGCTATTGTATAGAAACTATATAAATGTTATAGAAGAGAAACAATCCCAACAGGTTAATTTCTAAGCACAGTCAAGCAGAGGCCATGAAAAGAAAATCTTCAGTAACAAAAAATATTTCAGTAAAAAATGAACTCAAATCTAAAAGTGTGGATTCCTGCTACAAAGTCTGGCTTATAGCCTTCAAATTTACGAAGTTTCCTTGTGTATCCCTGCCTCTGCATGCAGTGACTTCAGGCTGTACCTGCTGGGTACAAACTGAGCGTGTAGGTCACAACAGATGTTTAAACTATGTTGCCTCAAGAGACTTAAGAATCAGGTATATCTGAAAAGAAATAAAAAAAAATAGGGATGGACAATGAGTACAGAATTAAAGTTAGCTAAGATAAATTTTGCTTTGCTTCTAGAAAAATCTGCTTGACATCTGAATTTTGGAGGACAAAGGCTTGCATGTACCTGCCAGATTATTCTCAGCAAGACCAGGGACTATGAAGCCCACTGGCTTCCCTCTGAATAGCAGATACCATCTTCAGCATCTCTATCCTACTTGTTTCCTTACACTTTCTCTTTTTGCCTGATCCTCACTCAAGGAGCCTTAAGGTTAAACATTAACATCCCACAACTGAGGCACCTCTTACCTTTGCTTTCTTTTCACTTAAATTGTCCCAGTCGCATTTGAAATGCTATTCAGATTAGATAGCTGAGAGCAAATATCCATTTCATTTCTCTGTGTCAGCGTAGGCTAAAAAACTCTCTCCTCCTCCGCAGTAAGTGTCACATATAATGGGAAAGAAACAGTCATTCAAAGCAAAGCAGTAAGTCATGCGAAGCTTTTACAATGCAATACAGAATAGCCTAAATCATCCTACCCTTTGCCTACAGCTTCAGCCTGGCCCCTCACATCCTGCAGCCCGCTCAAATCTACTCAAACATCTGCAGTAAAGCTCACCAACACTAGATAACCTGGCAGCTGAATAGGTATTGCCAATAGAATGTCCATGTTGCTGATCTGTAAGTATCAAAAGAATAGAATATCCTGAGTTGGAAGGGACCCACAAGAATCGTCAATTCCAACTCCTGGCTCCTCATAAGACCACTCAAGATTCAAAACCTATGTCTAATAGTGCTGTTAAAAGACTTATTGAACTCTGGCAGCTCGAGGCCATGACCACTGCTCTAGGAAGCCTGTTCCATGCCCACCACCCTCTGATGCAGAACCTTTCTGTAACCTCCAGCTGCCCCTCCCCTGACACATCTCCATGCCTTGCCCAAGGGTCCTGTTGCTGTCACAGAGAGCAGAGCTCAGCGCTGCCCTCCACTCCCATGAGGAGCTGCAGATTCCATGAGCCTCCACTAGCTCCTCTGCTCTGGGCCAAACAACTAAGAGACTTTAGCTGCTCCTCATGCACCTTGTCCTCCTAACCCTTTAACATCCTGGTAGATCTCCTTTGGATACTCATGTTTTATGTTCCTCTTAGATTGTGGCACCCAAACTGCACCCACTGCTTGAGGTGAGACTGCACAGTGCAGACCGGTGTCAGACAATTCCTTCCCACTCCTGGCTGGCAGTGCTAGGCCTGGGGCACACCAGGTATGGTTGGTCTTTTTGGTTGTCAGTGAACACTGCTGACACACATTCAGTATTTACCACTTTATTTTTTGGTTTATTATTCTAAGTCATTATTTCTTCCAAGCATCTGTAAAGCAAATCAGACAAGCTTGAAACAAGGCATGTCCACTGGCTAGATCCTTTCCAGCAGTATGTAGAAGCAGTGCTAGCAGCAATTGGCAGTTCAGAACTTGGGATGCTTTACTTTCACTTGGTGTTTAAGAATTCAGTTTAAGACCCAGGTGAGGACTCATTACTTTATATTCCATGGCCTGGGGGCATTTATCACTACTTAGAGGCTAGGACTGTCGTGCAAACTCAAAGATCATCACAGAAGGCTGATTCATGGGGAAAAAAAAAAAAAAAGAGATGGGACTAGAGGGATAGGCAGAGGTTGAAAATACTCTAGCTGTGCAAAATGCTCTGAGACAATTATGAAGTCCTTTCTAAAAGCAACTCACCAAAAATTAAGAACAGACAATACAGATGATTCCCAGACACCAAACACAATAGGGCTGCACTGTGTTTTCCAGCCCTCCACCCCATCACTGTTAATGTCCTGCCATGCCCCTCCTGAGAACACATCTCTGCTTTCCTTTGCTAGACTTTTTTAATCCAACTCCCTTCCTCTTTGTTTCCTACCCTTTTCATAGCTGCCCCATTTTCTTTTTGTTACCGGCTGTACTGGCCTCTGTATGAGTACCAAACACTTCTGAAATGGTCTGCTTTCTCATCCTGTCTATTTCTTTCTGTTTTACTGTCATCTCTGCAGGTACATCCATAAATCACTTCCTTCAAGGAACTGTATTAAAAAGCATTTCTGCAGTCCACTCATCTCTTGTAAGCATAATCCAGTGGAAATCTGCCTCCTTTGATAAGAAACACTTTAAACCCTTTCTTCAGGTTACACGCTGTGACAATTTGTATTCCCAAATTTGTGATTTACTATTTATCTCTAAACATCTTGTGGAAGTGTATGCCTACAGAAGCGATTTTTCATATCACAGAGAAGAAAATCTATCACCAACCCAGCCCATTCAGCAGCTTTCTCTCTTTCCATTGACTGATAATGTCTACCCAAAAAACATACGGCATCTACAGTAAGGAGATCCAAGGACTGGTCTGTGCAGGCTGTAACGCAAAACACACATAAAAGCAAACAAAGGGCTTTGACTTAAAGGCTCAGAAAAGTTACATCTCCTTTGAGAAGAGTGCTGGAAATCTCCATGGACATGTGTCATCTCAGCATGGAAAGTCCCTATCCTAGCTTTTAATCATGACAGTTGATAGACTAAACACAACCTGTTGCTGCTTATACAAGCTGAAGTTGTAGTCAGCACCATGTCAGCCAGTTTCTTGCACTCCAGGCTAATACTAACATATGCAGCAAATTCTGCTGTGGTCCGTTCCAGAATCTGGGTTCCCAAGCAACATCCTTAGCAATTTTCTCCTGATATTCTAAAGCACAATATACTACAAACAATCCTTACTAATTTGCTTTTGAAAAGAGAATGAAACAAAAGCTCAGCTGAATTGTCTTGGAGACCACAGCAGGGAGATGACAACTACAGTACTGCATTAAGCATTTTCACTGCTCAAAGACGACACACGGATCTGAAACAAAAGGCATTTAATGTGCATGGATGGCACATTTCAGAGTAAAAACAGAGTAAAACCATTATAGAAACATGCAGTTATTTACCTGTAGTCATAAATAAACCATAAGATCTCTATGATGTCTCCTATTTCCTCTTCACCCACCAAATATGTAAATCATATTTCATTATTTCAGATTTTTTGTAACCAGCTTCAGGAAATTTTTAAGCTTTAGGGATAAAATGGCTCAAAAAGGAAAAAAGTGAAAACAAAAAGACAGGTATTGTTCCAAAGTCCAAACCAGTTTATGTGCGAAGCAAAGCCAGCTCTTAAATTACCCTGAGTATATATAGACCTTAAGTAAAAACTTTTTAACGGTGTTTGGAGAACAGTTCCCTTGTCTATACCCATAACATTTTTCTGTAAGGATAGAAAGTAGATCTCACTCTCAATTCACTTCTTACTGCAGCAGTGCAAACATGATGTTATAAATGTAATAACCTAGTGAAAGCAAAAAAGAAAGATGGAAAGAAATTACAGTAATATGGTTCCTTTTGTTTTAGCGTAATCTCTACATTATAAGGCAACTGTTTAGCCAATGCTGAGAGGCTTGAGTCTGTAGGTTCAGATTCTAGTAATCTAATATTGTCTGTGTGGTGGCAAATTGATTTGGGATGAGCAATTTAATTGGGGTCAAAGTAGTACCACCTCCAGCAATTCTGAGAACACATAGAAGCGAGTTTCTATTCTTTCTTTGAAAAGCAAGCAACAGGAGCTCTTGTCAAAAGGACACAGGGAATCCATCCAGAAACCATAATCCCATTGCAAAAATCTAAAAGGAGAACTAAATCAGGGATGTGAAACAATCAAGAAAACATGAATTAAAATGCAAGTAAAACCATGCTGCCAAAACTCAGTTCCCATACTTCCTCATCTTTTCAGCTCTCTGAAGCTACAGAGCGGGACAGTGCACTTACTAGAACATGCCTGCACTATGAATGCAAGCTCTAATACTCCCCAGCAAAAGGGAACTCAGATTTTTCCACTACAAGAGCCTAGACTCCTATACATTGAGCCACATGAAAATCTTCACAAACAATTTTCATAACAGAATCAAATCAAGACAAGTCAGGCAGAGTTGGTTCATCAAAGTTTACTGCGAAAAACCTTTCGCAGACAAGCTGGAGCACTCTAGCACTCTTCAGTCCATTTTTGCAGAGCTGCTACTGCATTTCCTTCTTTCCCTCAACTTCAGATTTTCTCAGTGTTCTCCCGCACTTTTAGCAAATCTTCCCAATTTCTTTCTCCTATGCAGGGAAATGCTGTTAGGGTTTTTTCATTTGCTGGGACACCGAGTTTTACACGTTCCTTTTCTGACAACAGTAAGAAAGCACAGACAGGTATACAAGAGCTGACAATGAAAATATTTTAAAAAGTAAAAAATATCACTTTACCATGGGAAGACAAAGAGTGAAAGCATCTAAAAACTTGCAAAAACTCAGTATATCTGAGTTACGCTACCATGTGAAGAGACTGCACTGGCACACTTGATACCTGCTTACAGATGTCAGCGAGGCTACAGGATTCTGCAGGGAAATTAACAAGGGGAGTTACAGATGTATCACAGCATAAGAGATCCTGCTGCTGGCAGAATGCAATCTTCAAAAAATAACATTTTTAAACCTATTCAATTTTCAAAGCTGGAGACACTGATCACATGGCAGCAATCTATTTTTATTGTGTTACCTCTGATGTACTAAATGATTCATAAAACAAGAACATTTTCTGTGAGAGAGCTTTCTCTAGTAACCACACAATTGACATTAGTATTACTAAATTTAAGCGTGTCTTTTTATATTTTCCCTTCTGCAAATCAGCCAAACAAAAACCCATTAGAGTACAGCTTGTTGAAAAATAATCTGAGCAAAGCTGGGCGTTCTGAGTGGGTATAGCAAGAGTTCAGTCAGCTCTCAATTACTTTATCTCATGGCAGTACCTGGAATTGTGCCCTAGAGGTAGCAGCAGTGATTCTAGGCAGGCATCAGGATCCAGAAAATCCGTCTTCACATCCCATTTTCCACAACTTACCAGGCTATGCCCCCTGTGGGAAGTAGTGTAGACAAGCGATGGAGTGAAGTGCAGAACAGTGGATGCTGAGGATTGGACATCCACACCATGTACATTCCAGGTAGGATAATTTCAGATTACTTTTAGTCTGTTCACTGCTAGGAAAGGATAAATTAAGTCCAAGTATTTCAGAACACTGTATAAGATAGGCAACTGATAAAGTCATAAGTGACTTATGAGAGGCAAGAAATTGAAAGACTTAAGCACTCAAATCAAGCCACCTGCTATAAATTGCCCTATGCATTTCCAAAACAATTGTATTTAGCTGTTAATATTGAGAAACAGCAGAGAATCTTTCCTCAGCTTGACTCTATACTATTGTCTATCTGTCACATATTACACAAATTGCACAGAGTATTTTGTGTGCAGTGTTTTTGTGGTTTTTTTTTTGTTTTTTGTTTGTTTATAAATCATCTTGCTTCATTTAGAGAATTGGCTGCAATATTGCTTAAATATGCAGTCATCTCTGGACTCCAGTCTTCATGCATTTGCACATGGAAAGGCTGACAAGAAGAAATGAAATATGACTACAATGCATCATCCTCCCAGTATCTACAACAAAGCTGAAAAATTAAGCATTTGCTGGGGACTATTGACTGCTTGGAGATAATCACTCACAGCCTAGGGAGAAGGAGAAGAGAGATGAAGGAAGATCTTGGCAACTGAATAAAAATAATATACCTTGAAGATAAATTTTACCACTAGATGTTCAATGATACAGCTCACTTCACTTGGGTGCCTATTTCACTACACATATAATATTTAAAAGAAAAGACCAAATAGTTTAAGACTTCTCTTCTGGTCATAGAGGAAAAAAATATATCAGAGTAGAAAAACACAGATGTGCTTTTTCAGTGCTGTTGTCTTCATCAGTCAAAAGCAAAGTGCAAAGGATCCTGTCTCTCAGTACGGTGTTTCAAAAGCGATAAGCATTGTAAGCCATAAAGAGAAGGTACACAAATTTCAAGATTACTTTCTTTAAAAAGTATATATGGTGCTTAGGTAATTATGATTTTAATGACAGAGAACATGGATGTTTCAATCAGTTGAAAAGCTTACCCTCAGTTCTGCAATTCAGATAATACAGGGAAAAATAAAAAGCAGAGACAACGAAACTGGGAAAAAGAGAAAGAAATATTTACTGGAGGTCCCTACAATGCTTTTCACATCTGAAAATGGGAGAGTTAAACAATATTTTGTCACTAACCTTGAACAAACAACTGCTTCCACAATTTCCAATGTGCTATTAAACACGCAACACAATTGCAAAGGAACAGACTACTAAAAGCATAACTTATTGCCCCAGAAGCTTTATTCAAGCACTGGGGTTTAGAAGAATTAGATCACCAAGTTTTCAATTCCTTACTTGTCTTTTTGAGTTAAGTTCTGTCCCCAAACCTGAAAAGAATCTTACATGACAAGAGATAGATTCCCCTAAATCAAATTCAACACCTTTAAGATGATTCCTCACTCATACACTATAGCCAACACAATGTCATTTTTTGCCAAAATTGCTATTGCTACTAAGTGTTTCTCAAGCAGAAGCCCCCCATGAAGATGAAAGTGTCCATGAAGCAAAAGTGAAATAAATTGTTTTTAAACTCACATAGAAGATAAATAGCTCTCTTTAACCCTATATACCTCATGAGAAAAAAATAAAATAAATGAAATAAAAAAAAAAATCAGAAGGATTTTTCTACGAGAAAGGCACAAAAACTGTGGTTAAATTTATACTCGTAACTACATGAATAGCTTTACAATTAAAAGCTATCTTAACCAATTTTCAACATTAAGTCTGTTGAAGAGAACTCTTTCAGCTAACAACAGTATTTCTGAGAATCATCTGTGATGTATCCAGTAAATTGAGCAATAAAGCACCAATAAATTCAGGTAGCTTTTATAAACAATCATGAAATTACCATTCTGTGCATAGGATTTGTTTCTTACAGTTGATAAAATGATTCAGACAACATGTTTACAATGTCACAGTCTCTTACATTAATAGAGCTTATGCTTGGCGATCATCATGTAGTTAGGAGGTTTGTATATATTATACATATACACACACAGATACACAAGGCAAATATTAAACAAATCCAATCTAGTACTTTTAAAAAATGAGTACTGCATAAACAAAACATAAGTGCACACAGCAATTTTATGTTCTAAATCCACCCACACAGTTGTTCTCAGGAATTCAAGGACAGATCTGCATGGGCAGATTCACAGAATTTGAGTTGCAGACATCTGTGCTGAAATATTGATCAGCATACGAGGGTGTCGTTCATTAAGCAACTGAACAAGGTCTTGTTTTTTTATTTATTTTATCCTCAAATTGAAAATAAAATCACAACAATTTCATCAACAAAAAACCTAGTACTCAAGGTACTCTGCTTCCTCCATTTACTCCCCAAAATCTATTCCCCTAAAAGCATAACCTTAAATTTGCATGTATGAAATCAGCTACTTTAAAAAATCCTGGAAAAATAAATGGAAAAGATTAGACTACAGCATAGCTTGTAGACCACTGTTTTCTTCAGCTTCTGTCAGTATCACTCCACAGATGAAGGTAAAACAACCCTAACAGACTGGCTGCAGTTATCAGTCTCCACAAATTGCTCATCTCACTGCTTAGAAGTTAGAATTCAGCTTAAAGTCTGATGCAGGAACTCTCCTCCTGCTGGGACACTTTGTTTACATTAGCAGTGCATACTTCCATGGTTCACAGAAATGGCCCATCCTCCTCTAACCCTGCTAGGGAGAGTGGCCTTTTTTTGCCCCCAGTTACTTCCTATGGCAGCAGTTTTACAATCTAATTCCACATCCTGTCAGCAAGGCTGATAACCAAACATCTACAGACTAAAAGAAAATTGGACCAAGAGCCTAAAGCACAAACAATTTTCTTCCTTTAACAGGAAAGGCTTCATATTATCCTTTATTTTATTTTCATTTTCAGGGAATATCTCTGTGCTTTTGTGTTATGAGAACAATGGAAGCTCCAATTGTAATTAATTTTAATTGTCCTCCCATGTATCTCTTTTGCAAGGCAAAGAATTCCCAACCTTCAGTTTTCTTAGCTAAAACAAGAGACAGCCCCTAGGTTTATGTTTCAACAGCTCACTTGTAAGAATTATAACTCAAATTAGTTAACTGAAAAAAAAGTGGTGCATTTGCACATTTTTCCTTTCCTCCTCAGAGCTCCTTTCTGTAGCTTTCAGTCAATACTGAACATTTTAAGAACTGGACTCAACAAAGCAAGGAAAGTGGCATCATCTCCATATGCGAGCTGCCACAAAATTCTTCTCCAAGATTCTGGATGCGTTCACATTGGAACAAAATGCAGAGGAATGAAATGTGACACAACTTTAGTAAAAGAGCTTGCTAAGCAAACCTATTTGTCTTCACAAATACTGAAAGAGCAGGGCAGGGGGAACTAAGGTGCACATGCAGAAAATCAAGCCTCAGGAAAGGGTCCGCAGCAGTCATGGTGCAAACCAGCTCTAACGGACATCAACAGACTGAAACAGTTTGCTAAGGAACATAGCCACGATTCCATTCTAAAAGAACACACATATCCTATCTTCAGCATCTCTGTTTTCTTACAGGCAGATTTGCAGTCAAGCTCATCTTCCAGTTTAGTTTTACCAGAAATAAGCAGAATTCTGAGCTACAAAATCCTTTCCACAATAAACAAACAAACAAATAATAAAATAAAATAAATCCAGCCCTCATTCCAATTCATTTATACTTCCCAGTCTTTAAAGCTACAGGGATTTCAGAATTCTTCCTTTGTAACATTTACAAAACGCTTTCATAAATCTCCTACTTACTGAGCAAATAATGCAGCACTGCTGGTTAATGCCCCTAATACCATGAGTAGATGTTTTGTGTCACACGTGCAGCACCACCCTGCCTCTCCAGAGGACAGCAAAGATGGACCTAGTGGAACAGCACCCTTCCCGGTGATGACATCTCCTCAGAGGCACAGCTAGGGCTGCACTCTGTGCTCATTGCACCCACGGGGCACCTGTGGCCCCACACGGCCCAATAACCATGAAGCACTACCACTGGAACATCTTTTATTATGCGGAGTTGAGATCCCAGAGTCAGCCTAGGGCAGACAATTCGCAGGGCATAAGCATTTGCGCTGTGAGACGCATGTAACCGCAGCAAGCTTTCACCACCAAGAAGCTCAGAGCAAACTGCCCCACACCCACGAAGCAGACACAGGGCACGGTTCGTGGCGCGGAACTCCCCTCCATCGACCTCTACCACCTTGGCACCACTGACCGACCGACAGACTCCCGACGGCAGCCGCCGCGCATGCGCAAACTGCCCGCCCTCCCTCAGGGCGCCTTCCCCGTGCCTGACGGCCGCTGCCTGCCCGGCTCCTGCGTGGCACGGCAGCGCACCGAGCCTTGTGTTGCCGCGCGCGCGGGCATCACGCGGGCATCGCTCTGTCCTCGCTCCTTCGGCTTCTCCTCCGGGCGCTGCACGCAGGCGCTCGCCAAGGACACCCGCGGGTCCTCGCTTGTCCGGGCGGCGGCCAGGAGGCGGCGGGGTCCTTCCGCGCCGCGCGTCGCCGCCGGTGGGTCGTGAGAGCTCGCGTGCCCACCATGTACTACAAGTTCAACGGCTTCACGCAGCGCCTCGTCGGGGCTGCGGCCTCCGCCGCCTACAACCCGCAGGTAACAGCGCTGCCGCAGCCGCCGCCGCCGCCCTAAGCGCCGTGGCGGGCGTGACCTTCGCTGCCCTCGGCCCCTGGGGCGGTTGTGCGGCCCGGAGCCCTGCAGGCAGTGCGGGATAGCGGCTGGCAGCTGAGCAGCGCTACGCTCGTCCGCCTCTCTGGTCTGTGCGTGTGGAGATTGCAGCTACTGAAAGCATTGCAACCCTTGTTTCAGAGACTAGGCCGATAGATTTCAGAGACTAGCAGTTTGCTTACAGGAAGATTGAAAAAACAAAAACAGCCATTCTTTTGCACGATGCTTACTCATCTACTTCAGAAAGCGTTTTGCTGACAGTAACATAACTGCTGGTACTAACAAAAAATCCCTTAGCTTGAGACCTTTACCGTGCTTTCTGTCTTAGCCTTAGCATTCTTAAAAGACTTCATTTTGCACTTATTTAAATTATGTAACATAGCATGAATAATTCAGCCCGTTTGAATGAATGGGAACTTTTTCAGCCAGTGCAGGTGAGGAGTAAAGCTAAAAACTGCTGCTTCTATTTAAGAGGTTAATGACTGCGATGACCATTACATATACAAACTGTTCACTCAGACAACGGGCTTATTCAAAACAGTAGTAATGGAACCATTCGTAAATGCTCATCTAATCTTACCTGATAGCTTTTCCCTAGTTCTTCAAGTCTGGCCATAGCCTGCGTAGAAATTTTGTCATGCTGCTCTATCTTCAGCTGATACACCTTACTTTGCTTGTACCTAGTAAAAAAAAATAATAATAATAATTAAAAAATCCACTAACCACAGATCTTTTAACTAGGGTGAGTTGCTTGGACTTGGTTGAGAAACTTGCTGTTTCTCTATTTTCTCATTCTGTGATTCAGATTTGCCAATTTCCCTAAAATTTATAAACTTAAGTGTGGTGCTATTTCTAGTAACTGTGCTCCTAATCTTTAACTCTTTTGTGCTGTCAGGAAAATGTAAATCTGCCTTGGGATTCATGCTAGCAAGGCAAACAGCTGTACAGAAAATAACATGCCTGGTCTACAGGTATGTAGGCATAAAATAATACAAGTCTGACTTCACAAACTACAGAATCATAGAAGTAGGAAGGGACCACTGGAGATCATCTAGTCCAAACCCTCTGATAAAATAGGTTTTCTACAGTAGGTTGTACAGGAAAGCATGCAGGTGGGTTTTGAATATCTCCAGAGAATGGGACTCCACAGCCTCTCTGGGCAGCTTGTTTCAATGCTCTGTCACCTTCAAAGAAATTTTTTTTCATATTCAGATGGAACTTCCCGTGTTCCAGTTTTTGCCTGTTGCCTCTTGTTATGTTGGTGGGCACCACTGAAAAGAGCCTGGCCCCATCTACTTGACACCTACCTGTTAGATATTTATAAGCATTGATAAGATCCCCTCTCAGTCTTCTCCAGGATAAACAGTCCCAGGTCTCTCAGCTCAAAACATTGCTCAGTTTCTTAAACATTAAATGTATCATGTAGTCCTTTGAACAGAAACTAGAATTCCAGGTGCAGCCTTAGCTGCATACTAACATAGATCACTATGAAGATCAATTACTCCTATTTGAAATGTAACACAAGCAGGTTAACACAATAGTGTTATGTCTTTTTTTATGGCAAGTTAGAAAAAAACAAACGGTTATTTCAGGAGCTATAATGTAAAACATCACTGTCATGTGCTGAACTATAATGGCTAAATATAACAATAAAGGTAAGGAGGCCACCTCATGACTACAGTGACTGTACACTTAAAATTTAATCCATCGAACTGGATTACATAGGTTTTATCTCAGAGTACAGCCGTCTGAACTGAAAGGCAATTAAATTGTGCTGACTTATAAGAGATACGTGAGGGATGAAAAGCTGCAGCAGTATGCAAATTAGGGGATGTTAGATTTGTGTAAAACAGCCACCAATTCAGGGCTTCTTGTGTCCTTGAACACCTAGCCTGCGTCTCCCTCACATTTTTTTTTTTCCCCCCCCTTCTTCTATTTTCTTTTTCCTTGCCTCCTCTCTTCCTCCAACCTATGCATTCTGATTATTTAAGGCTCAACTTTATAGCAACTGCTTGGAATATTTGGGAGGAAGAGTTAGAAGTCTCCTCGCTCTGTCTGACACAAGCGTTGGGGATTTCCTCTCCCAAACCTACTGCTGATAGGACCTGGGTACTCTGTGTAAAAACAGAATGACTTAGGACAAGTACCAGCCCAGAAAAGCTTATGATAGCTATAGATTTGTCACTACAAAAAAAAAAAAAAAAAAAAAAAAAAAAGTTTCTATTATCCTTGCTAAGTCCAAAGTTGTAGCTAAGAATGTCTTTCGTTAGTTTTCACTTTTTTTTTTGTTTTGTTTAAACCATGGGTCTTAATACCAAATATATATTTTTATAATGTATCCTTGTAATGACTGGCAGTGTGCCTGTCTAGCATGACAACTGGTACATTTACAAGTATTATATACCTTTATATTTTAATCTTTATTTATGCAGGGACTCAAACCAATAGTTTCCACTGAATCCCCACCTCTGGTTTTTGGGACAACAACTAAACTTGCTTCAGATTTACCAGCAACTGATTCTTTCTTGGGTAAAAACCAGGTGCCAGACCTACAGAAACTTTTTCAGGTAATGACAACTTTGGGAGTAAATTACAGAAAATGAAAGAGTCATCCGTATCTTGCTCTATTTTAACGTGGCTGACCACTTCCATCATTCTGCAATGCATACATTTTTCTAGTTAAGGAAGTATAGCATAACTTGTATTTCTTCCTCAGCCTTGTATGGGGCATAAGTACAGAAAGTGAAAAGTCTAGTAAGTTTATCTTTTCATTTGCTTCAAAAAAATGTTTATTGTATTATTTGACTAGTGGAAGCACTTTACATCTGGAATCCAAGCATATGACTGCAAATAGAATAGGAGGAGCAAAGCAAATCGTTTTGTGTGTAATAATTTGAATATTACAGGTTCTGTTGTTTATGCAGTGTTAAAAAGAGCACAGTAAGAGCCAGTTTGTTTTAGCTGTTTAATTTCTAAGCATACTGAGTCTTCTCATAAAATATCTTTTTTCTCTTGTTCTTAATAAAAACATCAAGAATGTATTTTATAATGTACCCTTTTCTCTTTCATGCCACTTGCACTTGGAATATATCAGTCTGACTCGGTGAATAACCTTTTCTACATAACTTTTCACATTCTTTTGTTAGCGTCATTTTTCTCACCCAGGTCCTCTTTAGAAATATTTCACAATATATTTTTTCTGCCTGCATTTAATGCCTTTAACTAATACAATTAACTTGCTTTGCATTCGTCTTGCTAAATGAAAAGCACTTAGTATATCTGTACATAGCCTATCAGAGGGGAGGTTTTCCTTATGAAAGTCTCTTAGTTCACCTGAGGTATCTTGTTCATTATGTCTTCTATATGTGTTTATTTTATTCTATTTATTTCTAAACTCTTCCCACAGAAAGCAGATGGGCTGCCTGTACACCTGAAACGAGGAGTTCCGGATAAGCTGCTTTATCGGACCACTATGGCTCTCACAATAGGCGGGACAATCTACTGTCTAGTAGCACTGTACATGGCCTCACAACCAAGAAGCCAAAAGTAGATGAACCATGACTCACAGGACTCAATTCTTGGGAAGACCTCTTGCGTGTTTCTCTTTACCTGCTTCTTAATTCTGTGATCATTTAATGTTCATCTTTTCAGATCAAATCTCTTGGAGGAAGATGTTTTTACGTTGGTTGCCTCATGTGTTCTAGAAATCAATATAAACAATGACTTTCAGTCATCATCTTAACTTACGGTTGCGGCTCGGTATTTGTTGTCTCGCAGGAGCGTATGAAGTTGGAGAAAGCTGAACTTTTTCTTCTAATCCCCACTCAGCTTCAATAATGTTGGAGATAGGACAGAAGTACCACTTTCTGGACTAGGCTCCACATTTGTTAGTGGGAGCTTGCTGCTAGTTTCCAAAAGAGTAAAAGAAAATCATTTAATTTTTATGAGATACACTGCTCATTTTACATAAGCAAGTGGCAGTGGGACTTCGCTAAATGTTGGCATATCATTAAATACTTGTTCCTCTGATGGTAGGGCAAACAGCTTATCTCCTTGGAACGTGTAAACTGGATTTATTTAATGTGAACATCATGGTATGCAGCAGTACTCTAGCATCAGTTGTACCAGTTTTTGGACTTCTTGGACTCATTTGTCAGATGCTCTCATGCAATAAAAATAAATACACAAGTAATAAAATGGACAAGTCTTGAACATTTCATACCATTTCAGCTGACCTGGTAGTACTGATACACTGTTATTCAGGTTTAACTTGTAGATCACAAACCAGAAAATTGGTTGATCTACCTTACTGTAATCTTTTAAAGATGTTAGCCCTCTTCAAAACCTACCTTGGAATTCATTTGTTGTTTTAATTATGTTTTAGTGAAACAGGTCACTGCATTTCATAGCTCAGCTGTGTATTCTTTCCAGTGCACGCACAAATTTATGTACATCTAGGTAATACTGTCCCTAACACAAGAAAGATGTAGAGCTGTTGTAGCAGATCCAGAAGAGGTCCATGAAGATGACCAGAGGGCTGAAACACCTCTTCTATGGGAGATCTCCAGGGAGACCTCAATGTAGCCTTCCAGAGCTTAAAAAGAGCTTATAGGCAAGAGGCAGACCAACTTTTTACACATACAGGTAGCAATAAAACAAGGAGGAATGATTTAAAACTGAAGAGGGGAGGTTTAGATTTGATGTTAGATTTTATGTTAGATTTGATGTTAGATGCTGGAACAGGCTGTCCACAGAAGCTGTGAATCCCCTTGAAGGGGATCAAGGCCAGGTTGGATGTGGCTGTGGGCAGCCCCTGCTGGGGGGAGGAGTGAGGGGGAAGCAGCCATGTCAAAAGCAAGGGATTGGAATTAGGGTCCCTTCCAATCCAAGCTATTCTCTAGTTTTATGACATAGGAGCATCAATGTCCTTTTCTGTGTGGGTGGAGGTGAAACTAATAAAGCTTTGGGCTTTTTTCCCCCTGTAATATCATAGCCTTGAATTGCAAGTTTTACGTAAGTAAAAGGTATCCTCTAATTTGATAGATTCTGCTCTAATTTACAAACAGAATATTCACTTCCAATCGCTCAGGCAATGAGTCTGGATAAGCATTGGCCTCTGTGAGGATTCATCTCTCAGAAAGGTGAAGAAAAAGTGTAAATAAGCAAAAACATGTAAATTAAGCGAAACAATTGATAAAGGAACATGAGACTTCCATTGGATCACTCTTTTACTAAAGAACAGATTTGTTTTGTAGTTAAGTTATACTAAAGCCTTGTTACTCTTTCACAGGAAAGAAAATAGCTGCTTGTATTGTGATCAGAATTCAGTCAATGCTGGTATTTCAAGAATGGAGAGATGAAGTTACTAAATAAGAAAATTGTAAGGATAGCAACACTCAAAGAATAATATAATGTTTTCCAGGAACTGACAGCTACGTTGCCTCAACTGAAAATATATTTTATATTCAGTAATACATGCCTCCATAGCTTTAAGAATCTTAAGTAGGCTGCTAAACTTTTCTATTTTGTAAGAGTAATTAAATAAATAAAGCAGCATGGAGGTCATTGTCTTTCCTGCATACCATATATTAAGCACTCCCCTACAATCCTTCCAATAAAGGATACTTTGCAAACAAACTTCACAGGGAAATTTCCACGAGGATGAGTTTCTGCTTTCCATTTGTTGCTGCAGTAGATGTGGTTAAATTAACTGAACTGTTATCCCAGAGCATATTAATCAAGTGCAATACTTGTCCAAGTACTTGTGGAAAGAACAGCAGAGACATATGTTGCTCAGCTTCACATTTATTTTGAAAGGAACTCAGCTAGAATATTGGGTTTATATATTACAGTAGCAGTCTTGGCTGGAGCTATGGATATCAAAATAGTCTGATTCTCCTTGGTCTAGCTTTTTCCAATTCACTGTCAGATTTAGCATGTGTGCTAAACTGAAGAGAAAATACTATAAAACTTTGCAGATAACCAGATACTAGATAATGCATTATTTTATTATAAGCACTGTAGGTTTTAAAAAAAAAATTCAATTGTTCATTCTCAAAAAAAGAAAAAAAAACACACAAAACAAGCATGATAGAGCTGAATCAGGATGTGAACGCTCCTTCAGTTTGTCAGGTTCACATCCGTATTTGAGTTGGAGATTAAAGAGCAAAGTGTTACCAGCTGTCAGCAGCCATTGGGCAGGGGTTGCAGTCCTGAGAGAAAGAGTAAAGTGTATATCTATTCCCTCAGCAAAATGCTCTGAAGAAGAAAACAACTCGGAAGCTGCAGCCAGAGGGTTAGAATATAGAAGTAAAAATCCTGCCTCAGTTCTCAATTAGTTTTGAGATGATCATAATAAAAAGGATTTAATGTTGCAATTTTTTTTCCCTAAGAAGAACAACATAAAACAACAACAAGCTGTTGGATACCTACTTTAAAATATTTGAATGCCACAGACCTTATGAAGATTGAGAGGATTTAAGTGCTTTGAATTATTCTTTATGATGGAGGGATCTAATCTTCTTATCCTGGAGTCCTCAAGAACACACTTAAATAATCT